GAATGAGATCGACCGGCGGATTTGGGTATCCAGCGGCGTTTTGGCGCACTGGCCAAAACGTTTGTGACTAAAGCAGCGCTGAGTCTGAAGGCTAAGCTCTCGGTGTTCAAGTCGATCTTCATCCCGTTGCTCACCCACGGTCACGAGTCAGGGGCAATGAATGAGAAATTTCGATCCCGAGTAGAAGGGGCTTAAATGGGATTTCTGAAACGAATCGCTTGTGGCTCATGTCTCTCGACATGAACCGAAGTACAGATACCCGAGAGAGAGTCTTGATGCACAGCCACTGCTTCTCCAGATGGAGAAGTCACAGCTGCAACGGTTCATGCAAGTGTAGCACATCGCGTACAGCCAAGAATAGCCTGGAACAAGTGTACCGAAGGACTCTGCCCCAGACTCGAATTATATTTTGACGAAACTGAAACGCTGGCACGGGATAGAGAAAGTTGGACTGACTGTCTGACACTGTCTGACGCGTCTGCCTCCACGAACCAAAAGGATAAACGATTATGGTGACTGACAGACAGACAGACAGACCGATCGACCGACTTTTGCTACTGAGAAGAGACGAATAAAACGAACGCGATGCAACAAGTTGCCTAACTGTTGCGTGGTCAGGTAAAGTGGCCAAAATACATGCAGGCAGGAAACATGCAGATGCACACACAACATGCAAGCAGAGGAGCAAGTGCACAACGGATCAAGTGCAAAGGGAAAAGCGCAGCTGTCATACCGACGCAGTGGCGTGCATTTGGCCTGTCTGATGTGGCAGACGAAAAGAATCCGGATCGACAGAAGCAAACGTGGTGAATATTGGCATCGGCAGAGCCAAGCTTTGAACACAACTGGTGACAACCAATTAGACGCTCTGTGCAGGCGAAGCCGGCATCTGGCATAGAAGTGCAAGTAAAAAGAGCAACGGCACGCTCGCTCGCACAGGCGAAAACGCGACGTACGCAAGATCGCTTACATGCAGCAAAAAGCATGGTAGTAAAGAAAAAAGGACCGTCCGACCATACCTATGCAGTTCTTGTTATTGACGGCCAAAACGAAGCCAGCGCTACATGAACACGTGATGCCACCGTAGTAGGTTTCTTCGCAGTAATGCTCACAGCCACCATTCTGAGTATCACATCCGCTTCTCGTTTCTGAAACACGGAACTTCACTAGCGACAGTTCATTAGGTTAGTGCTATTCAGACAGTAGACAGGGCATAAATACCGCTAGAAAAGCCATGTCTCTCCGTATATTACATATGACATTTAATCTTTAGACCAGAGCGAATTTATCATATAGTTGCTTCTGTGCATAAAGGAGACGACATGGAAAGCGTCAGTAAATAAAGATATAACTAGGACGTTAAAGGGATTGTATATTATTTAGTAGGCATCAGAATCTCTTCGTTATGCGCTGCTTTTTGGCAGCCGACAGGAGCCAGAAATTTTCATTCTCGTCGCCCACTGAATCAGGAGAAGAGGGCTTAAGTCTGGGGATAACAAGTGAGCAAAAACCCAACTCCTAGTCATTGGATACTTTATTTATTAGACGAAAATATACGTGGTTCTCTTGGAAGACCCCGAACTCGATTCCGATTTAATGTTACGTTTGTAATTATACTTTTTATTACCAGTTTTATATTCACTGATAACTATATTGTACTCGGTGATTAACAGTTATGTTTCGCTTATGCATCAGTTAACTGCACTTCATATTTTTAGACATAATTAAACAGTGACTTGAAGAGAAGACGGAAAAAACGGTAAAAGTAGGTCACAGCCCCTAATATTTTTATGACTGGATGCATTTGTGGCACCGTTTTCACATGAGACTTACGGCCGGCTCGGCACCAATCTGAGTTGCAGCATCAGTTAGTAGGTTACTACCTTTCAAGGCTACGTCTAAATGACCCCTGCATTGTATTTATGTTTACATTTACACTGGTCTCACCAATATTTTAATCTGTGACAACTGGACTGCGAGCCGACGAAATTACTAAGCTAAACTGAATCGAAGATCGAAAAGTTTATTGTATGCGGGCGAATACTTTACGGCAATAATTTCAAACCAGCTCTAACACTGGCACCGTAGGAACCAACCACCCTCGGTGGGAACTAAACGGTTGTTCTGGCAGAATTCCACTGTATGGGTTTATCAGGATCTGACTGATGATTATCTAAAACTGAACTGGGAACAGGCAGAAGCTATTGGAGTGCATGACCTGCAGCGCATGCCTCTACAAATTGTCGAATGAGAAACTGTCATTAAACGAGAAGCCAAAAGAGCAGTCAACGCGCACGATGGTCAAAAAGGCTGACGGGCATACCGTACACAACAAAGAACCGAATGCATATGAAAGCGGATCGGTCAACTGGCATTGATCCTTCAGAAGAGGCAAAGGCAAAAAGACGGTATGAAGGAATCTCTGAGCTCTCTCATTGGATTTTCAGTTATGGTCGTTGGTTCTAGTTCCACGCTGTGGTATGCGCACGACTGTTGCAGCTGTGCCACGTGTATACTTTAAATAATTGTTCTTCATAATTATTTCTCCATCACTGCTTTGCGTCTTTCATAACGCGGGCCTGGTTGAAATATACTTTGCTGAGTTTATAAATACCATGACAACTCAGTCACGTTTTTCTACTGTCTGTTTACGTTTTACGCATACTTTGTCTTTCATCCTTTTGGCAATCTTTCGAAATATTTTGACTGAAAAAGGGTAACCGTTTCAACAAACGTATACCTGGACCGCGTCTCTACCAGGCGAGCGTTGTTGTACGGCACTGAGACAGTTTTTCTAACGAAGATTCTTGTTCTGTCACACTAGGGATAGCTTAATTCAATGGTACAGTAACCCATAAAACGTCAGTTACTCCCTCAGCCCTTTCCAACGACTCATGCAATGTTTTGCAAACACCGATCGCGCTCGAAGGCGATAACTAAACTCACACAAGTGACTGCAAGTCATCATGTGCATTCCTCTGAAGAAAAACGCTGCAGCATCAACAGCCAACTACTTCACATAACGTCGCGGCGTTTCTTTATAACATGTCGACGCAAAGCGCGTATGAGCGTGGATGGCCGTTTTTGCTTGCTGGGCACCAAGCACAGCATATCGCATGTAAATTCGTTCCGCTTATACTTTTCACCCTCTTATTAGCCATCAAAACTTAGGTAGCAGCACAAAGGAATCAGTTGGCGGGTAAAGTATTGGAATGAGGATTGCGCGTTGATGCATTTTCATTTCAGGTACACATTATTTCGATTGCCAGAAAAAGTGAAACTCAAAGCACTTCCATTCTGATGTCAACTACTTGCTCATCAAGTGAGTTGTTTTCCGATTACTGCCAGTAAATGGTCCAGGTGGCTATTCACGGATTT